GGGCGTATAACCAACCATCCAGTTCACTGTACTCAGCCTCTAGGAGGCATTGGAATTTGAGACAGGAAAGAAAGAAACCATTTTATTTGGGAGCATAAAGTGGAATTTAGTACATACACAAAAATAAATCCGTAGCTCAAATCACTTTTCTGGGTCCCACTCAGGGTCCCCTTGAGGAGATCAAATGTTTACCTCAGAGACCAGAAACACAAGAAAGATACAACTCCACAGACAGCATGCATATTGTCTCCTTTCCTGCCTCATCGACTTGTGTAAACAATGGTGATTGTAAAACATATCAGTCCACAGGCAAAGGTGCTGGGACCGGAAATGAAATCATTAAAACGAGCACAGAGGATAAACTTCCACAACACCTCAAGGAGGAGAGATATGAGTCTAGTTCTTTCCTTCCTTCTTATATCCATAAAGCCTGCCCACATTTAGGTGGTCTTTGTTTTTGTGGGGTTTTTTTGTTTGCTTTTGTACCAGGAATTGAAAAGTCCAGTTTCATTTTAAATGTCATCCCCTGGATCCTCTGGCACGATCTAGTGTCTCCAGCTGAGAAATGAAGGCACCAGATAATCCTGGCCCTGCTCATATGGACCTGACCTGCTTCTCACACTTGAAGATAGTCACTGATGTCTTCCTCATCAGGCTGGAATGTCCTGGGTTTGCTTTAATTTTTGGCACGCCTACTCTTGTGGAAAAAGATGTCCTGACCTGCTTTAGAAGGCACAGAACTAATGGGGGGCGGGTGCTGGGGATCCAACTCAGGACCTTGCACTTGGGAGGTAGGAGCGGTGCCACTGAGCCAAATCCCTGGCCCCAGAACTAATTTTTTTTAAGATAGTCACTGATGTCTTCCTCATCAGGCTGGAATGTCCTGGGTTTGCTTTAATTTTTGGCATGCCTACTCTTGTGGAAAAAGATGTCCTGACCTGCTTTAGAAGGCACAGAACTAATGGGGGGCAGGTGCTGGGGATCCAACTCAGGACCTTGCACTTGGGAGGTAGAAGCGGTGCCACTGAGCCAAATCCCTGGCCCCAGAACTAATTTTTTTGTTGTTGTTGTTTTTGTTTTGTTTTTTGATACCCGGGATTGAACTCAGGTCCTTGCGCTTGCAAGGCAGGCCGCCGAACCACTGAGCTAAATGCCCGGCCCCCAGAACTAATCTTTGAAGGGTGAATGAGTGGTCCCGCTCAAGCAGAAGGATCTCAACATCCTGCATGGTTCTTTTTTGCTCTCAGCGATCCTCATAGAAATACTTGCTGCCTAAGGCAGTGGTGGTACACACCTGTAATCCCAGATACTCGGGAGGCTGAGGCAGTAAGACCTCCAAGTTGAAGCCCAGCCCAGGCAATTTAACAAGATCCTGTCTCAAAAAGGACTGGGGACCTAGCTCAGAGCTAAGAGTGTTTGCCTAGTCTGTGTGAGGTCCCAGGCTCCAACCCCAGTATTGCAAGAGGAAGCGACCGCTGCGCAGCTGTGCATGCAGGACGCCCAGCCTTCCAGAGGAGAAAAAGACTGTGGTCTCCTGAAAGTAAGGCCATGTGTGTGGGAGGGGAATGGAATTGCAGGCATGATGGCTGGAGCCAATCCAGACAACGAAGCACGGACTGAAGGAAACAGAGCCTCATAGAGAGTGCAATGACTGCAGCTGG